GTTTCTTCTGCTTCAGTTTGTTCCAAATATCAACGACCAACAAACGTACTTGAAATAAATCTATAATTTGTGTTTATAAATTTGAACATAAATGATAATAAAAATAAAAAAGTACTAAAAGAAAAAGAAGAGTAGATATCATTATTATTTTAATGATTCATTTTTCTTTAAATTTATTTTACACGTATAGATCTAAAAAAGGTCTTTAGTTCACTCAAAATTCAGAATATCCACAAAATAAATATCGATCAATTCACAATTGAGTATAAATATTGATCAATTTAACATAAATAAAAATAAAAATAACTTAAAGAAGAAAATAAAAAAATAATATAGAAAATATTCATATAAAAGGTAAAGAGAAAAAAAACAGGTTTTTTATCTTCAATTTGTTTCTAATTCAAGACATCAATGATCAATGTAGTTGAAATTTTATCACAGTTCATTTTTTACATAAATGACAACAAAAATAAAACAAAGTACTACACTACTAAAAAATATTTTTTTAATAAATTTATTTCACACACAGACCTAAAAACATTTTTTTTCTTCTCAAATTTTCTCATGCAAGTTACTGATTGCCATCCAATCAATTTTTACATAGTTTAGAAAAACTTTTTTTATTATTGGCTTTCGATTTTACATCATTTGGCTATTTATTCTATGGAGAAACTTTTTTTGCCATTCTGAATATCAGCAAATTTTGTGGTCGCACCTAAAAATAAATGTCGAGTTTGAAAGCCAATCCACCCGGATTGAAATAGAGAAACTTAAATAAAATTTAGTTTCTTTTTATTCTTTCTCTGATATATTCTATTTTTTTTCTAACTACGAAGTTTTTAAATAAATTTAATATCACTTCCATTCAAATATTATTTTAATCAAATTTAATATCAAACGTGTCTTTGACATGGATCAAAGAATTGATCCATTACCTAAATGTTACATTATATTTTCTATATTTTTATATTCTCTGCTCTAAAAATAGATAATGAATCTAATGCGTCACAGTTGACAATGAACAGGATTTTGATTCCAATATTAATACCATATGATTGAGATTTGTAGACACACGCAGACTGTTTGGCATTACCCTCGGAGCAATGTACTCATTTAGAGACGAGCTGGCTTAAATATAATCGCTACGCGTACCTAAGCGTCATATGACGATATGTATATTCTATCGTATGCGGCCAAGGACTGAAATTAATAAACTGTCGACAAATGTTATGTATTAAGGGATTATAAAATTTCAGTCTACTGTGTATAAGTTCATGCGTTTTATTTATGTGTATAATTGCTCCTATCGTATACATAAAACGAAATTTAGTAGTAGGTACTAGTGTAGTACACCCAGGCCTCGCTATACGGCCGCTCTTTATACGGCCTTTCGCTATAACGGCCCTCTTTAATTAAGGAACGTTTTCGATATACGGCCTAAAATGTTTCGCTATAACGGCTTTTTTAAATTCCCGTAGCGAAAGTTATAGTAATCGCAAAAAAATCGAAAATGAAAATTTTTATATATCTTTACGTTTCAAAGGTTCAAACGTTTTGGAAAAACTATAATATCAAGGATGCTGTTGAGAACATTAGTGAATCCTGGAAGGAATTGAAATCGACAACAATGAATCATGTTTGGAAAAGAAATATGGCCAGAATGTATAAAAACTACCGATGCAGAGGTTAATTTCCTTCCTGAAGTTAGACAAAACATTTTGGATTTAGCACATGATCTCGGTTTTGAAGATTTAAACGAATCTGATGTGCTGGATCTACTTGCAGCTAATCAGTTGCAAGCAGAGCCGGCAATTGATGTAGATACAGAACGTGTTGTATCCAAACAGCTAACATCAAAAATCATGTCGAGCGCTTTTTCATATTTTGAACAAGGAATAACATCTTCCTTGAAAACGATCCTGACGTCGAACGTAGCGCTAATGTCTCTCGAGGAATTAACTCAGCCATTAGCTGTTATAAATCACAAATCAATCACATCATCTAAATTTTTCAAACCACCAGCGCAAAATGATGGTGACAGTGGTCTGTATTTAAAAATTATGGAATGTTTTTGAAGTTTTTTATTTTATGTAAAATTTATGTTCTTGTTAAATATGTTTATAATTTAAACAAAATAAAAAAATAAAATGCATTTTGAATGATAAACCATATTATATATTTATTAAATTTGGAACCGATCCCATTGAATTTGTATAAATACGTATTAGAATAATTGATTCGTTATACGGCTTTTCGCTTTACGGCCAAGTTTTGCGGAACGTATCTAGGCCGTAAAGCGAGGCCCCAGTGTATAGTACCAGGTACTAGTTCCTACTATTAGTATGAAATAAAAAAGTTGACCAAATTACAATGCAAATGCTTTGCTATCTAGTCTTATAATTATTTTTATCTTATATTCAAAGAGTAAAGTTATTTGTTTCCTCACTCATTGATCTCTGCTTTATTTTTTTAACAAAATTTACAACAAAATGTAACAAAAGTTCTAGTTAATATTGCAACGAACACACAACGAAAGTAATTTATTCATTTTTTGCCAATAGCACTGTTTGTTTTCGTCAAAAAATCCAATTCGGTAATCATATGTTTTATTGATAATATTAGTAAAATTAGAAAAATGAATAGGTGCATGTTAATATGTATACATGTAAACGCAAATATTATCTTTAATCGACGTTGATCGGCGAATCATTGTTATTATTTTAGGTTCATTTTTACAAAATTATTTTAGTTTAATTATGATGCGTTATACGTTAGTCATCTAACAGTGATTTAAGTAAATCTTACACAGTTTGATTTTTTTCTCCTCGTGTGCATCTGATGCCTAGTAAAGTCAAAAATGTTTTTTAAATACAGTTATAAAATTTCGTATTTACAACTTTCGAAAAGGGAAAAAAACTGTTTGTGACTCCTCAGCTTTATTGCCGTCTATTGAACAAAGAGTTTTATTACCCGCTCATACCTATATCAAGTCGTCTTGTCAAATAAGTGAAAATTTGCACGAGCTGTTGTAAAAAATATTACTTAAGAAAAGGGTAGAGTGAAAGTTTGCGAATATTGTTTTTTATTACGAAAAGGATTTTTTACACAAAAGATCGCATGCAATATAATTTTAGAAAGTTAACCTTTTCGGAAATCAACGGATGTAAAGGATTTTTATGTACTTTTTAAACACAACTCTCTAAAATTTCGTTTTTATTGCGTCTAGGTTTACACAACCGTTGTAAAAGGAGATTGTGGTTAATTGTTGTTCTTTAGTCGATTTTTTTGAAACATGTTTTGAAGATTTGTCAGGGTTATTAGGCAATAATAAGGATTTTTTAAAAGCTTTTTTGCTTGTTTGCGCAGAATTATTAAAACGAATTATAAACCGCTTAGAAATATTTAGCATTTTATCCAGGACAGTTTTTCAAAAACTCTAAAATAAGTATATGTTAAAAATGTGTGTGAAGAATCTAACTTGTAATATTCAGAAAAAATAAATTGCATTTAATGATATATTATACCGTAATAATTCATAATGCGGTGTTGATATAGTCATAAACTAATATAAATATGTACTTATGCATTAAATGTCCATTACATATTTTTAAAATAATCTTTATCACTCGTTATAATCAATGATGTTCAATATAACTATTTGTGTAATCAATTCCTGATAGCGCATTACATCTCTTTGAGTGAATGATAACACACTTCATATTTATAGCATTTGAGAACTGGATTCTCCATTAGATTTCAGCATATGATGCCTGTGAGTTCTTAGAAAAAAAGCTGTTATGGTTGCACAGTTGATTAAAATTCCACGCTCAGAATTCAGAGTTCGTATCACAACACAACATCTAAATCCTGAAAACTTGTATCAATTTTCGACTTGGTTTTCGGATGAATATTTGATGACGTGATGTAATGGATGGTTTTCAGATATAAAGAGATTTCTTTCATTCGGGGATAGGTCATAAGGTCGTTCTTCATTTCTTGCGGAAATTTTATAATTCTCAAGAAAAATATTTGATTTAATTTGTTGGTAAATGAAACAAAATTGAACTATTGCTGCATGGCAAAAATAAACTTAAAATAAATTGAAACTATTGAACACATTTGTAAAACCTATTTTATTTGAAAAACTTGAAAAATAGAGCTTTTGATAATTTCTAATTAAAATTGCTTAAAAGTTTTGCATTTTTGCAAAGCGATCGCGATCTTTTAGCTGTTTTAGAGATAGTAAATCGAAACGCGTAAGCATTTTTCTCATTATTTTTGACTGCCAAATTGCATTTTTATCCTTTATTTATTGGATCTCTTTAATCGCTAGACCTGTCTTCCTAAAAATGTAAACAATTCTTTATACCGTGAATTCAAGTGAAATTTTTTTTGAATGAATCAAATTGGACGTTCCATTATCCCACAAACTTAATTGCCTTTGCCAAAATGTAATCAGCACGTCTCCTTGTCAATAAAAATGTTTTTAAATAATTAAAATATCGTGCTCTCGAAATTGTCTACGAAAAATTGTAGCTGCACACACGCACACACATACACATAAATACATTTATTTTTTCTAAGGTATGCCAAAATGTTTTGAATGACTTGAAACGTAAAGATATATATAAAAAAATTGCATTTTCGATTTTTTGCGATAACTATAACTTATCCTATGAGAAGTTAATTATATTTCGATATGTTTTCAAATTTTGCACATTTTAATTCTTCTAAACAAGATTTTTGTTGTTAAAATATCAGCTGGTGAGAGAGCATTGCTATATGAGACAGTTTGAACACTTTTAATTAACTTTGGATTGAATTGAACTTTTTGGAAAAATTGTAGTAATTTGTACAAAAAGTAGTTGAATGTAGTACTATGAAATTTTATTAGGCGTACTATTTTATTATATGTAGTTTTATTAGTGTTAGTTGTAAGTTATAAATATCATTTATCCAGAATCATCTAACCGCGTGTTCTTTCCAATTTCTCTTTCCAGGACCCAACGGTTGTCCGAGGCGTCGTGGCCGCCAGACGTATACGCGCTTCCAGACGCTGGAACTGGAGAAGGAGTTCCATTTCAATCATTACCTGACGCGGCGACGGCGCATCGAGATCGCACACGCGCTGTGTCTGACCGAGCGCCAGATCAAGATCTGGTTCCAGAACCGCAGGATGAAGCTGAAGAAAGAGCTACGTGCGGTCAAGGAGATCAACGAGCAGGCGCGGCGCGAACGCGAGGAACAAGATCGCATGAAGCAGCAACAGCAGCAGCAGCAGCAGGACGGCAGCAAATCAAACAAAATGGACCATCATGCGCCGCTCCATCACCACCACGACTCGCTCAAACTGTCGTCGGGCACAACGGGTCTCGGTCTGGCCGTCGATAAATCTCAAGCGGATCTATTGAAGGCGGTCTCCAAAGTCCCGACATAAGCAATACAGGCAGCCGGAGTCGAGCAGCCAGCCACCGTCGTCGTAATTTGAATGTTGCGCGCAATATTCGCAATGATTCGAAAACAGAACAACACAAAACACGATGTCGTCTCAAATACGTACTAGATAATAAGTATATAATGATTTTAGATGTATGTGTAGGATATAATATATTATATATAAATATATAAAAAAATAATTCGCGTGTAAATCGAAACGTTTGTAAGAGGATCGCGCGCATTCGACGCCTAGTGACAGTGTGTTTTCGGTAGTGGACGATTTCGCTGTTGTGAAAAGAGCGTTGTATTATGGATATGCCAGTGATAGAGGATACAGAGAAAAAAAACGAATCCGTGGACTATGCACCTTCGATTTGCCTTCATCGTTCTCATCTACGGCTTGAAATGACTCGATGTCGTATTTCTCTCAATTAACTTTATTGTGCCCACGTTATTATTAAGTTTGTATGGTTATGATGTTTGTGTCGCTGTTGATTTTGTAAACAACAAGAAGCGATCGCATTATGTTGTCGAAATTATTTTATTTGATTATTATTATTATTATATTTTCGTTGTATATATTTCATTTATTTTAATCGTTGCGTTCGATTTAAGATATTTTATAACTGTCTCATAATGCTGGGACAGATGTTGCGCTATTTTCTTTATCAGTGTATGTGTTACGATATTGTACTTTTAATTGTTAACATTCTTGTGATGCTTAAATTTGTTTTATTTTAATATTATGATGGACGGTAATTTATAGGTATGAAAGTTTCGTGTAAGAAACTAAAATTGTGCCAAGAATAGAAACCGCATTATGTGGTATCGCACCATAACGCCTGCTATGTGTGAAGCAGTGTCAAAAATAATAAAAGTATTTTTTCCACGTACGAGCCAGCCGGAAAGTGCCCGGCCGCTCCGCGCGGATTCGAGTTTTGTAGTTCTTGGATGGTTGTCGTTCGTATGAGATCACAGTACTGAAATGCAGGGGAAGTGTCTTGCGACGTTTTTAACCGAATGCACCGAAACAAAATCAACTTATACAAATACACATTTACCTTCAACAGGCGAGTTTTAAAACTCCTTCGTACATATACGTAATTTGGTGTCAGGGTAGCCAAAATCCTTAAAACAACTAATGTTTTTATTAATCTATATAAGAGTTATATCTAACAAATTATTACATTTTCTGTAACTCAACAAAACTATAAAAAATATATATTATACATCTCTGTATTACACTAGATTTACATAAATACATATATTTATAACATTATAATGCATGACGCTATGTAATCGAAAGTGAGTTCACATTATCTCATTATGTGTGCGCGTATTCACTTCGTCCAGCCGTTTGCGATTTTTTAAATCTTTTTTCAAACATTGCATTTTTGTTTCGTGAAGCCTTCGCAGTTTGTCGGTGAAAATATATCAAGCGTGATTGCATTTTTATATTTGGGACTTTTACCAGTTCGGCTCATTATATAGTAGTATGTAAACACTGTAAAAATAGTAAGTTGAATGTATGCAATTTGTATATGAATACTTTTTAGCTTTATTAGCACTTGTGTACTTAATGTAACAGAAGCTCGAGGATGAAGCGAAGTGTCGATTTAGGTTTTTTCAAATTATGTATACGGAAAATTTTAAATTAAAGAACATAAAACATTTGTGTGTCATTAAGAAATGATGATGCTCTCATCAAGATTGATACTATTTGCAATCTACGAATAATTTCATGCATGTTGATATGATGAAAGTTACTATCTTGTACATAAGAGCTTTTAGCTTTCAATGTAGAACTAAAATATTGAAAATGAAACGTTTACAAGAAATAGTACCGCTGCGTCCAATAACTTTAATGTGTATCGTGTCAATGATGAATATCTAGAAGTCGATGTAGAGTTTTTTTTATAACTTAAATTTGCGACCTCTTTATACAAAAATAATGCGTAGAGATTTCTAACAACATATATAAAGAATACATTATTGGTTTTATAAACACACCCAACGTCATATCTACAAAGAATTAACGTAGAGTTAAACAATAAAATTTGAAGCACATATTACATTTTGAACAACTATCAAAACACCAATTGTTTAATCCTTTGTAAAAAAATGATACTGCAACAGTATTTATACCATATTTATTCCCTGGTTTATCAAACATTTTCTTATACCAAATTGTACTAATTTTTTCATTTTCTATCAATTACTTTCTTGTTAAAATGAAATTAGTAATTGTATTTTTATATATTCGGCTTCTCAATTTTATAGTGGTTAATAACATAGCTACATTTTCAATACAATTTTCAGTACAATATTATTTAGATATATTATGATTCATTATTTCACAAAATTACAACCCAAGTTATCGTCTTTTGCTTAGCATTGAATATTTAATAATACAAGGTATTTTATAAAATAGTTTGACAAACTCTTCTTCAGTTTCATAAACAAACGCTAACCGACTTTCTATTTAGAACACTTGCCCGAGTATGTTGTTGAGGTAGGTCCACATATGTGTCATCAGTAATGGTGACATCGGCTTTGGTGTGTGAGATATTGATGCTAAAATTGTTACTGTTTATCGTTTGCGACGACAAAATAAATTAGTTAAAATAAATTGATAAATCCCGTCATTCTAAATGGAATTGATTTTCTTTAATCATATCCAACCGCTTTTTAATTCGCAGCCGTTAAAGCCATTCTGATAACATGTAGGGGGTAATGTAATGTTTGCATGATACGGTAACAGAAATAATATTTTTGCGCGAAAAGTGTTGTTATGAATAATATTTAATCCTGGACATCGACATTTATTAAAATGAGTGTATCGGATAGCCTGCGGGATGTAAATAACATTACAAATAAAATTATTATTAATTTTAAATTTAAATAATGAATTAAATCAACTCTGAAGATTAAAAATAGAGCATCGATGCGTGGGTTAGCATTTCTATAATCAATCGTTCAGTATTTTTGTCGTAATAATAATTTTTACAAAATTATTTTTTGTATCAATTAATAAATATTTGCCAAATTACTTTTGACCTTTTTTTAAACCAATGAAAAGGGTTTGTTATTATTTTTTTTTAAAAACTTATTGTAAAATACCTTAGAGTCATCGCAATTTAGTTGACAATTTTTGACGATAAATTAGTCTTTTTACCTATTATTAATAAATATTTTCCAAAGTACTTTCGAATAATGTTTAAACTAATCAAAAGGATTTGTTATTAATTTTTTTGTAAAATATTAATTTGTTTTTAAAAACTTTATAGTTATTGCAATTAAGAGACATTAAATACATTAGTGAACGGTTCTTAATCGTTCAGTAAATTAATCATATTAATACTTTTTGCCAATGATTTTGCCAATGCTGTGTATTAATTAACACATATTTGTCACAGTACACTTAAATAATTTTTAACCTAATTGAATAATTTGTTGTAGAAGAATCTTATTTACCTTGCATACAACATGAGTCATTGATGAGTATCTCTATAATCATTCGGTGTTTTAGTCATAAGAATATTATTGCCTATAAATATTATTCTCTGTATCAAGTAATGCTTAATTGCGAATGTACTTTTAAAAGTTTTAATTCGAAAAATACTGTTTAATATCTTCAAAAATTTATTTATTTTTAAACCATGTACTATAGAGTTTTCAAATAAAAATATAGCTAAATATAGTACAAATTATTTGATTGTATTAACAAAAACGCAAAATTGTTGACGACAAAAGTCTAAAAGCAGAGAGAGATCTAAATTAGTACGGGAAATATAAAAAGCATATTTCAATTTACCAATAAATTGGCAGTTCTACTTGATGTAGAGTGGTTTAGTATGACTTTAAACCTACATCTGAAGTCATTCGTTCTTCGAGTTACTAGTTAATTACCAGCTTAATTCCATTACCACCCAAAGCATATTTTAATACAAAAATTCTCCTATGTGTTGTGTGACGAATATTTTTTTTGAAAGCTTTTTTTTACCAAAATTCTTGGGCTGTCCAATACGTTACGTCGGGAATATATATTATTCCGATCCCTCGGCGACCACCTTCGAACGGATGTTTGTCATTGAAACGATACACAAAAAGATACAATTTATTTAGACGTATGTAAAATACGCATATTTATAAATACATGTATATTTATACATAAGTTAGATTCTTGAAATAGATTTATTGTATTTCCATGTCGAATATTTTATGTGTCGTGTGCTGTATTGATTATTACGTTTTATGAGTTTTTCACATGTGAATAAGCGTAATTTAATACATTTCTTTCCAGTAAAATTTATAAAATTCAAAACTATCTTATCATACGTTTGATTATACTTTAGTAGGATCAGCCATTCAATTTGCCTGTGATAGCAAAGATTTTTTTAAAATGAATTTTAGAGGGAAACATTAACCAGTGATTATTTTTATATATAATAGGTAATTATTATCAAAATTATTTTACATTTGCAACGTGCGTGATAACACTAAACCTACCAGAGCAAAATTATCTTTTTAAGTCTTGGGCTTCAATATTGTTTCTTTGGAAAAAACGCGCATATTCTAACAGTATTTATATTCTAAATTTTATTTATTTTGTCTGATTTCAACATTTGATAGTTTATTTTCTTAAATGTAATTAAAATTATATATAATGACCAAAATAATAAGTAAATTTAGGACTAACAAAAATATCATTTTCTAGGGCTAATGGATTCAAACCTAACCCAATATTTTTATTACTGGTAGCAGTACATGTGTAGTAAATTAAATGCAACGATTTTAATCTAATTAAAATATTTCTAGAAAATGGTTATTTTACGATGGTATGCTCAGTAGGTTTAGTGCCAAAGAAATTTTTAGTGTCTACAATTTTAACGAATCATATCATTTAAAAAATATAAAGAATTAATATTAGTATTTCAAAGGTTGCGTCAAATTAGTACTTTATGAGTTCAACATTAATTTTAATTCTCCAATTTTTTTCAA